TTCCTTCCTTCCTTCCTTCCTTCCTTCCTTCCTTCCTTCCTTCCTTCATTCAACAAATATTTGTTAAGCAATTATGAAGTACCCAGAACCATACTGTGCAGGCACTATAGAGAAAGTCCAGAGGCAGGCTAGTGAATTTTGATCTGAATATACATTCTTCAAAATAGCTGCATGAGATATTTGGAAGGCGAGTGCCATCATCCTCCATTTCACAGAGAGTTGGAATCACAGAGGTCTGAGCAGCTTCATCCCTTTGCTGCCCCTTCCCACCGCCCAAGTCTATCCCTTGTTGACACTCACAATTCGGTGGTGCTCTCCTTTCTTGCTTAAATAAGCCTTGATTGCAGCCAACCCAGCATATTCTCCCTGGGCTCCACTGCAAAAAAGAAAAAGGAGAGAGAAGAAAGGTCAGGCTTCAGGTCTTTCTCATTTGCGTTAATTTATTTAATATTTTTCAACAAAGTTATATCATACGGGGGAGTATAGTAATAAACAATACAGTAACACCACCTCACAGTATTCAGAGGTCATTAATGGGACAACCTCACCTCTCTGAAATTAGGAAATAACCTAAAAAGGTTTTCCTGAGAAACTGCAATAATCAGCGCTGTAAAGTAATAGTAGAAATCCCTAAAGAGCATAAACGAGGTGTCCCAAAAGTCTTGAGGCAGTTTTAGGACTATTAAAGTTCGGGCTTTCATTTGGACTATTATGAACATAGGGTCTGAACATATTCTAGATCTAATATCCCCTCAAGGACCCAACACAGTGCTCTGCATCCATCAATCAGCAAACGTTTGTTAACTTCTCACTATGTGCCAGGCACTGTTAGGTGATGGGAATACAAAAATAAAAATGAAACAATCCCCAATAAAACAAGTTCGTTGAATGAAAGTGTTAGTTGATAACTACTTAAGGTGTGGATCCTTCCCATAGGTATATGGATTTTACAAGGGCTGGGAAGGGGGCAGCCCATCTTAAGGGCCTCTAGCTAATCCTATAGCCAGCCCCAAGCAACCAAGGCAGGGCTTAGATAAGCCTCCTCCAAAGCTCAGAACCCACAATCATGAGATGTTTTCCTGAACACTTAATGGATTTGTTACTGAGACTCCAAAACTCAAGGAAGAATCTCTCAAGACGTCCCTGAATGACCCTTTTAGCTTTGGCTTCATACCACAACCACAGCAACATCTATAGAGGTGACCCTCTAATCACTATTTCTTCCTTGCCCCCCATTGGAGAGGGAGTGAATATATGAAGCCCTGGCATGCTACTTCTGAAAGGTTGCTGAGTCTTGGTTTAAAACCTGGATTCTGCCATGTCTTTAAGAATACAGCAAGCAGGCCTCAGGTCTGTAAAAGTTGGTCCATGTGGTAGCCTTGGACTTGGAATCAGGGACTTGTCATCAATTCCCAGCTCTGTCACATACTAGTATATGACCTTCTAAGCCCTAGTTTATTTGTCTGTTTAAGACAACAGCAGGGGCAGCTAGGTGATACAGTGGTTATAGAGTATCAGCCCTGGAGTCAGGAGGACCGGATTTCAAATCCAGTCTCAGACCAGACACTTGACCCTTATTAGCTGTGTGACCCTGGGCAAGTCACTTAACCCCAATTGCCTCACCAAAAAGCAAAACAACAACAACAACAACAACAACAACAACAGCAACCACTACCACCATGGGGAGGATTAGGACCCCTGAACACTCTATCTTAAAAAAGGATCAAGTGAGATAATGTCTGTAAAGTGTTTTGTAATTCTGAAAGTGTTATGTGAGTGTGAGCTATGATTATGATAATTATCTATCCAGCTCTCCAGGCAAGATGGCAGTGACTATATATAGCACACCCCTCAGACAACAACAGAGAAAAAGCAAAGGGGGGGGAATGGCTCCCCAAAAAACACACAAGAACATTAAAAGTAGCTGATTATTAAGGACGTAGGGACAATGTCTTGTCTAAACCTTGTATATCCTCCAGTGCCCAGCGCAGTTCTCTGAACAAAAGGATGTCAAATCAATCAATCAGCATTTAAAAAATGGAAAAGAAGCAACAAAACTAGAGGATAGACCCAGGCCTGAATGCGTTTAAAAATGAAATAGGATTTTTTTTTCATTAGAAGGTACCTTAAGACACTATTTAGTCCAGTCTTCTTTTTACAGATGAGGAAACTGAGGTCTCTCAAAAGGCAAACACTTTCCCCAAGGTTCCACGGCTAGTCAGTAATGACTGGGCTTTGGAAGGACAACCTCTGACTTCAAATCCCCAGTGCATGTTTCACTAGGGCACAGAACCTTCACAAAGGTACCTCAGAATTTATTCTAAAGTGCTCACAAGGAAGCATTTTTAAAAATAGCCCTGGTCCTAGGGTTAGGAGCTTAATGACAGCGATCAAGACAACATCCTGGGGACACGGAGCTAAGAGCCTAAATAGAGAAAAGAGTTGGAAATGTGAAACAGCTCAGTCACAACAAAGGCATCTCTTTTTTCAATCAATCAATCAATCAATATTTATTAAGTGCCTACTATGTGCCAGGCACTGTGCTAACCACTATAAGGGAGTTGTTTTTTTTTTTTAATGTGACTTCTATTAATACTCCTATTGCTGAGAAGCTGAAAAAGTGAGTTAGACCAAGAGAGAACCTGGGGTGAGAGGGAAGATGAAGAACCATACATGGCCATCCAATAAGAGAACAGTGAGAAGGTATGTTCTGTTAAAGACTTATGGATGGCTTTGGCCTTAGAAGCTCATAAACTTAGCAGTGTTTCAACTTCAGAGGTAGAAGGCATGAATGATACCAATCTCAAAAGAAATGTGAGATGCTAATATGCTGAAGAGTCCGTCGGAGGGACTACTAGCTCCACCTACAGGTGGATAAAAAGAGAAAAAACATTTGCACATCACAAATAGGAATATGTTGAAATAATAGGTATTTGGAGGGAGGAGAAAATAGAGGAAGAGCTTTTATTTTTTTTTTAAAGAATAAAATGATGAACCTTTTCCTTTAGGCTATGCTTTCTCCAAATACATTCACTCTGAAGTATAATATTATCCTTGTGTAAAGTATGAGATGACATTTAAGGCATGAAATAGAATGCTGGACTTGGAGTCAGGAAGACTTGGGTTCAAATTCCACTTCCTGGCTTATTGGAGATTCACCATGGGTGAGCCTCAGTTTCTTAATCTATAAAATGGAGGTAATAATGATATGATCTACCTCAAAAGGATTGTCATGAGTCCCCATTGAGAATGTAAGTAAAGCACTTTGCTTAAAAACCTTATATATTCAGTTATTATTGTATTATCATTAAATAATCAGTATTACACAAAATATGAAGTAGCCTGGCATGAGTGGAAAGTTCAGCAGATTTAAAATCAGAAGTCTTGAGTTTGAAACTAGGCTCTGAGATTTGCTACCTGTATGACCTCAGATAAGGTGCGCTCTCCTTCAAATTACCATGTTTTATACATATTTACATATAAACATATAATACACACAAATAGACATATGCATGCACATTATAGATAATACATAGTATATATGTCACATGGTTTTTTACTATATTTGTATTATAAACATATATATAAATCTTTTATTTATATGTGTATGTATACATATTTTGGAATATGTGTGTGCATGACATTATGATGTCTGTGGTTTTCTGTTTACATATTGTATACCCACAAGAATGTAAGCTTCTTGAGGGCAGGGACTATTTTCGTTTTGTTTTTGCACTCCTAGCACCTAACACATACAAAGTAAGCACTGAACTTGTTGGGTTGAATTGTATCTATAAAATGAAGTTGTTGGGCTAGAGAAAGCTCTAGAACCTATGAACCTCTGAATGCCTAAATTTCCTTTAATTATCTAACAAGTATAGTCAAGCCCTAATCGGATCTTTTCATGATACTCTTAGTGGAAGCCAGAACCCAGAACTGGTTCTGGACTTTGATATCCAGGCATTTGGTTTCATTCAGTATCATCCCCAGCCTCCATCTCTGACACTAACATTTACTGGCATTGGTACCCTCTTTCTAGCTTTTACTCTGATAGGAGCTGCCTTCACAATCCCCATATTCTATAGTAAGATAGTAACTGTGAATTGAGATGATTTTGCAACATGCCTTGTTGAAGCCTTTGCTGACAGATAGATTTTATTCAATGTCAGCTCACATAAGACAGGCAGAGGCTGCGTGCATGGCCATCTGTTAGGGCTGTTTTTTGGAGGGTATTTTGAGTTGAATTAGATGGCCTTTAAGGTCTGTTCCAAGTCTGAGACTGTTTGGTTCTGATTCTGTGATTCTCTAAAATATCTCAGTTTGTAATTTTGTTTGGAAAAAAAAAACAAAAACAAACACCTCCATCAAACACTCTCTTCAGTATGAGTCACTCACAGAAGGTGTTTACTGCTGTCTTCTTTTCTGCCACAAATATTATCCCTTAATTATATCACAGATTTCTAAAGTGGATGAGTCTGCTTCCACACCATTCAACACAGGATAGACCGTTTAGGAGGATTGGGAATAAGTATGAGCAGACTGTTTTAGGCGAGTGGGACAGGAGGAAAAAACTGAATGCTAATTCAGTATTCTTAGACAACTCTTTCCACATAGCTACTAGCAGTGACTACGTGTGATTTTTAGTCTTGAGTTCCAGGTGTCTAGGTTGGCAGAAAGAAATATTTCCTTAGCTTTCTTTTTCTTGGGCTTTTCAGTCCTCTGATACCATGGATCAGACAGATGGAAATGGAAAATCTAGAAGCTGGCTTCATTTTGATGCTATATTTTAATACCTATTTTACCCACTGTGGGTTCAAGATGATATATCATCATATTTCAGTTTGGTAACACACACACACACACACATACACGCACATATCTGCATACAGTTGTTTAAGAATATGGTATCTGAGAAAGGAATTTGCATTTCTGGACCATGGCTTACAATGCAGGAATGATGGGCTCCTGGCTAGGAATTGAGCTAAACTAATAAAGGTTGTAAAAAAAAAATATATTGCATGCTTGCATACCACTTCTAGGCCTATTCCCCAAAGACATAAAAGTGGGAAAAAACCCATTTGTTAGAAAAAAAATTATAGTAGTTTTTTTTTGTGTGGTGGCAAAAATCTGAAAACTATGAAAGTATTTATCAATTGGAGAATGGCTGAACAAATTATGATATATAAATGTAATGGAATGCTACTATTGTGCTATAAGAAATGAGTGGGACAGTTTCAGAGAAACCTAAATACTTACATGAACTGATGCAGAGTAAAATAAGCAGAACCAGGAGAACAATTTGTACAATAACAAGAAGAAATTCTACTCTGGATCTCTCACTCTGACAAACAGGTAGGATCTGGTTATGATGGTGGAAATGATGGTACCTACAAGGGACATGACTACTCCATTTCAGATTTTGTGAAAGAAGTGAAGGAATTTGAACATAATCTGATGTGTGCCTTAGATTTAGAGAGAGCAAATATCTAAGGGTTCTGAAAAAGGAAAAGTTCCTATGGAATTTCTGAAAAAGGAAAGGCCTATGGACTAAAATTCTGCAGGGGAGTTTTAGCCAGGATGAATAAGAAGATCTCAAGAATAAGACTCAAAAAACACCCCCCCAAAAAAAAATAACCCCAAAGAGAAATAATTCTGATGAGCAGAAAAGAAAGGAGAGTTGTTTAAAGTGAGTCCAGCAGAATGCTGGAGCCACCTTGTACCAATTTGTGAAAGCTGATTGCTCACATTGAAAATTTACACCTTGAAAATGAAAAAAAAAATAAAAAAAAAATGACCCAAATCAGGGTTTGATATATGTTTTGTTGATTGTCTAGACTTTGAAAAGTGAAAGAGAAAATGTTAATAATGTAGATTGATTTTAAAAGTATGTCCTGTACATTTTGTTGTTAAATGTTTACCAGCACATCACCTATTGTTAAATGTTTGCCAGCACACTAATGAAACTGACTGATAAAGATGCACAGAGAAGTCCCCAGCCAATTCAAATTTTAAAGACTTGTACATAAGACGGTTGCAAGGATAGGTTGTGGAGGATATATACAAAAGTATAAAATGGTCCTCTAAGGATAATGCCTGGAGGAGTAAGCCTCAAAATGAGCTGAGACTGGTGAGAAAAGCTAAGGATCATAAAATGGGGAGGAGGAGTTAGCTGTATTTCCTTCAGGAAGGAACAAAGAATGGAGAAGAATGCAACTGGGTATGGGTGAAATGATGATAATGGATGGCAGAAGAACCACCATTTTCTCAGGCAACCAGTTTTATAACCTTGGAAATATCCTCGACTCTTTTCTGTCCTTCACCTAACATATCCAAGCAGTTGCCAACCTTTGCTGATTCTTCCTCTGCAACACCTCTCATATTTGTCTCATTTTCATTCACACAGCCACTTATCTTAGTTCGGATGTTATTGCCTCTCACATGGCCTACTAGAATAGCATCTTAACTGATGTGTTCTTCCTTCAAGTCTCTCCCTTTTCCAGTCTATCCTCCAACCAGCTGACAAAATAATCCTACTAAGGCACAGTTCTAACCATATTACCTCCTTTGCTCAAAAAACTTATATGGCTCCACCTTGCCTATAGGATAAAATTGAAAATCCTTGGACAGGCATTTAAGTTGTCTCCACAATATGCTTCTCCCCTATATTTCTAGCCTTATTTCATTCTCTACCCATTCATATAAGTTTGAGTCAAACTACACTATTTAATGTTCTCTCAGCTCAACATTCCATTTTCTGCCTCTATACATTCTCACAACCTTTTCTCCATCTCTGCCTTTCAGAATCTTTGACTTCCTTCAAGGCTGAGCTCAAGTGCAACCTTCTCTCTCCTGATACCTCAGATAACAATGCTCAGTTTTCCTTGTACTATATTTATTTGTGCATGTGTTTATCCCTTTAGTAGAAGGATTGTTTGATTTTTGTCCTTGTCATCTCTGGTGCCCAGTTCCTTGCACATGGTAGTGGGTCTTTAATTAATGTTTGTTGAATGATGGCCTTACTATTCATTATCTATATAGCCCTGACCAAGCCACTTAATTTCTATGGACCTCAGTTTCTGCTTACAATTAGGGAGTTGGGTTATATCATCTCTAAAGATTCTTCTAGCTCTAACCCCTAATCCTATGACCATCCCATTCACCATTCTTACATCTTTGTGGGAAAGAAGACTTATCCTACTGTAAAATGTCACCCAACCAAGCTTCACCACCTCCATGTGAGGTAGAGACAAAGAACCTCATTTTCACCCCCAAATCATAATGATGAATAGGAAGCTCAGAGAAATAGAAATCAGCTTCCAGTTCATTCATCCATGGCAAGGCCAAGAGGGAGTAGAGATATCCTGATTGCTAGGTTGCCTTCTATCTGCCAAGAAGTAGGAATGGTACCAGCCCTATGATTCTATGAAAGAGTAAAATGTCATTGACCACAAACAGGCAGGTCAGAAATCAACAACTACATTGAGATCTCTATTCCAACAGGGCACTGAAGATGTTTCTACTTTTAACCACTAGAGGGCAAAGTCTCTTCATTTTTAGTACACGTGAAAACTTCAAAGAAGTTTTTAAAGATCACTGATGATTTGAAGAGGAGGGGCCTGGGATGGGGTGAACCCCGGCTTTGACACTTGCTAGGTTTGTGAGGTGTCTTTCTCTGTAAAACATATCATAATACTTATACTCCCTACCTCCCAAGGTTGTGGTAAGAAAAACATTTTATAAACCTTACAGCACAGTAGAAATGTGAACTAATCTAATTATCATAAATGCCATTCTCTGGCTGGGCAGTTTCTTTTAAAGAATATCATTGCACCACTAATGCATTGTTGGTGGAGCTGTGAACTGATCCAAGCATTCTGATGAACATTTTGGAGCTGTGCCCTAAAGGCTATAGAACTGTGCATACCCCTTGACCCACTAATACCATTACTCAGTCTGTATCCTAAAGAGATAAAAGAAAAAGGAAAAGGACTTATATATACAAAAATACTTACAGCAGCTTTTTGTTTGTGTGTGTGTGGTGGCAAAGAATTAGAAATTGAAGGGATGCTCATCAATTAGGTAATGGTAGAACAAGTTGTGGTATATGATTATGATGGAATACTATTGTGCTATAAGAAATACAAGGGGGGCAGCTAGGTGGCACAGTGGATAGAACACCAGCCCTGAAGTCAGGAGGACCTGAGTTCAAATCCAGCCTCAGACCAAACACTTGACACTTACTAGCTGTGTGACCCTGGGCAAATCACTTAACCCCAATTGCCTAAAAAAAAAAAAAAAGAAATAGCAAGGGGGATGGTTTCAGAAAAACCTTGGAAGACTTATATGAACTGATGCGAAATGAAGTGACTAGAACCAGGAGAACGTTGTACACAGGGATAACAATATTATGATAATCAATTGTTTCACAGTTACTTAGTTACTTTGATCAATACAATGATCCATGACAATTAGAAAAGACTCATGATGAAAAAATGCTATCCATCTCCAAGGAGAGAATGAATGAATTCCTGAGTGCAGACTGAAGCTTATTTTTTTTCACTTTATTTTTCTTGCTTTTTTGGGGAAACATGACCAATATGGAAACATTTTGCATGACTTCACATGTATAATAAGTATATTTGCTTGCCTTCTCAGTGAGATAGGGAGAGAGAGAATTTGGAATTGAAAAATTTTTAAACAAATGTAAAAAAAATAAAAAATATGGGGGGAAAGAATAACATTGTACCCTGTTATATTTCACCAAAAAGCCATAATACAAAAGCAATCAGTTGTAGGAGATAGACAGACAATCTGGGTTCTATGTCTGATGTTCACCATTGTACTAGCCATGTGAGGAAAAGTGGAGCACAAAGTCATTTTTCTTATGCCTTCCATCTGCATCCCTGGCTTCACTGGACCATTCTACTACCTAAGTTAGCTTTAGGTAAGGAAACTGATCAACACCCTTATAGCAGGGCAGTTGTATTAGAATTGCCAACATGATGAGAAGGGCCTAAGGCATTAACTCATACACTGATAACTTTCTAAGTTCAATCTCGTGCAAGAGAAACCACTTTCTAGGTTATCTGGAATTTCATAATCTGAGCCAGACAACACCATAGGAAACCATAAAGAGCAGATAATGGGCCTTTCTCATTTTGCAGATAAGGGAACTGTGAAGTGAAGGTGACATTCCCAAGATCATACAGGTAGCTGTTGGAAGAGCCAGAACTATAACCTGGATTATTTGTGCTAGGAGAAGAAGCATGGGGAACAGAAAATAATACCAAGACAGGGAGTCAAGAAGACTCAATTCAAATCTTGACTAGAGCACTAGTTGAATGGATATGACCAAATCATTTAACCTCTTCTAGCCTCAATTTCCTCATCCTTTTGTTTTTTAATGGGATCATAATGCTTGCATTACTTTCCTCATAGAGTTGCTAAAGTATTCTATTAACGATAGCTGCCATTTGTCTAGCATGCTAAGGTTTGCAAAATGCCTTACAGACATTAATTCATTGAAGCCTCACAAAAGTCCAGTGAGGTAGGCACCACAAGTATTAGCACCATTTTAAAGATTCAGTAACCAAGAGCCTCAGTGTCCCTGGTCAGACTTGTCCATAGTCACCCAGCTAGTAAGTCTCAGAGGAAGAATAAAAACCCAGGTCTTCTTGCATCCAGATGAAGTCTTCTATCCCCTACAACACGCTTCCTCTCTATTAAGATCAAAGGATCACACACTTAGAACTAGAAGAATGCTTAGCCATCATCCAATTCAAATACTGGTCTCTTCCTCTAACAACCTCTCCCTACAACTAATTCTACAGATGACGAAACTGAGGTCCAGTGGTTTTAAATGGGATAGGAGGATGAGGATGGAGCTGTGATTTCACTGGGATCAAGAATTCCCTCTATCTGTGAGGGTCAGAACCTTTTCTGTGATTTATTGCCATAGAGAGTTAAATTATATAATTGCTAGTTGTTATTATTATTGACCTGCTAAGTACAAACCAATGACAGTTTCCTAAATTGGGTTCTTAGTCACATCAGGGACATGAGGGAGGAAAATACACTCACCTGTTAGGTTGGAAGGAAACTTTGTCATAGCCTGTAAGTTCACACAAATCCTTCTCCAGCTCTCGGAAAAGCTGCTGATAACCTTGAGCCTGGTCTAGAGGCACGAAGGGATGGATGTTGGCAAATTCTTTCCATGTGATTGGCTGAAGAGGAGGAGGGGAGAAAACATACTTAAGTTATGGTCCTGTTTAAAGCCTATATACATATGTGTGAAAATTTTCTGCCTTTACAGGAATGGAAAGATGTGTACTGAAGCACCCATAAATGACAGGTCATTCTGCAGGCACGTTTGCACACAATGCAATTTCTTACCTTCTTTGAGCAAGTAGACATTATAGCAAAGAGATGAGGCCAAAAACAAGGAAACTAACTACTAGCAAACAACTATTCTCTCCACTTATATTCAGATTTACCTGAATGCATATTTATTATACATTTATAACAATTATAAATAATTACAATTATAAAATATTATATGTAATTATAACATATTTATCATAATGTTTGTTAAATTGATAAATATATTGAAGGGAGCTTCCCCACATCTGAGACTTTTTTTTTGTTTGTTTTTAAAATTATGGTACTTGTAGGCTGCAGGAGCAGATGAGGTAACATTTTTTTTGATATAGTTTATAAATATAGCCTCAAGTGACTGTTTTCTTGACATATTCAGGTAGAAACCTTTATAGTTCTTGATAATACCTGGAATTAATGAATATACATTTGCAAAATGAAAGCCGTTAAGAAGGCAAGTAAAAAAAAAAACACAGAGAAAAGGGCAGAGTGGGTGCCTAGTGAATACTTATTTACTTGTTTTACCTCTTCTGAACTTCAATTTCACTTACTAAACTGAACCCTAAAGCTTTGCAAAAGTGGAATATCCCTAAACAATTACCCTATCATTCTGATGCTGAGTGAAAAGAGCAGAACCAGGAGAACATTGTACACAGTAACAGCCACACTGTGCAATGACTAACTCTGAGAGACTTAACTCTTCTCAGCAATATGATGATCCAAGACAATTACAAAAGATTCATGATGGAAAATACTATCCACATCCAAAGAAAGAACTATGGAGTCTGAATGCAGATCAAAGCATACTATTTTCACATTTTTTGTTTTTCGTTTCTTATGGTTTTTCTCTGTTGTTCTGATTCTTCTTTCACAACATGACTAATGTGGAAATATTTTTAACGTGATTGTACATGTATAATCTATATCAATTTGCTTTCCGTCTTGGGCAGAGGGAGAGGAGGGAGAAAAATTTTGAACTCTAAATCTTATAAAAAAATAATGTTGAAAACTATATTTACATGTAATTGGAAAAACTAAAATAATATGTATTTTTTAAAAACTGATTCCCATATCTTTGTAAAACAGGCTTTCTTCACCTTCACTAGGTCCTGGACCCCTTACACAGGCTCTTAAAGCCTATGGACCCCTTTTCAGAATGACATCTTCAAATGCACAAAATATGTAGGATTACAAAGGAAAACTATTATATTGAAATATAGTTATTTTATTTTAAAAAGCAAGTTCATTGGCCAAGTTGAGAACCCCCATTGTAAAGGATTTATTAGCAGCTATGATGCAGAGGATAGTTAGCTATGGACTTAGGAGCCGCTGGAAAGCAAGATACCCCAATAAGTAATCACTTAATGAAATCAATGTACTTACTGTAAGTTCAGATGAACTGTTGAGCTTCATCGTACAGGATCCCTTTAAGAAACAACCAGCCCCCCCAAAAAAGGCATCATTATTACTGTTCTTAATTCCTTCCATCCACCCTCAATCCCATTTATGATCTCTACTTCCCACACTCTAGTGAGACACTGAAGACAAGCAAAGAAAACAACAGGGAAGGTCATATCTACCAGAGGAATCATGCTGTGGACAAGAGAAATATCTTTGTTCTCCAGTTTCTTCATGTAGCGGACAATATTAGTTTCCGAGTGATAGCTGTGATAGAACACAGAATCCACGCTCAGAACCAAATGAGTTAGCCTACATACAGCCTTCTAAAAGATGCTAAAATGTAACAACTACCCCCAAATGTATCAGATTAGGCATCAAACAACACAACAGGAAGGCTGCATGACAGAATGGACAGGGTGCTGAATTTGGACATATGAGATAAAAACCTAAATCTCAGGTTCACTGTATACCAGCTGAGTTAATAACTGAGAAGTCACAGAGTTGCCTCAGTTTCCTCATTTGTAAAATGAGGGAAATAATATTTATACTCACAAGGATATAGTGAGGAGGATGCTTGGTAAACCTACATACATGTAAGATCTTACAACATGTTACTGCTCTAACCTTTTTGTGGAAGACTTGGATCCCTTTGGCAGTCTGGTGACTTCTCAGAATGATGTTTTAAATGTGTAACATAAAGTGCATTGAATGAAAATGAAATTATGAAATATACTTATTAAAATATTTTTAAAATGAAGTCACAGGCTCCAGGTTAAGGACCCCAGCTCTGGGAGAAAGGGTCTCTGAAAGAGGATAACTTCTAAGGGATTCTTGGCCTGAGGTTTGGAATGGACTGTTAGTGATGAATTGCATAATAAGGGGGAAATGATCATGACATTTGGGAGTAGGGAAAGAAGAAGACTAGTGATGGGAATGTGAGGTTAACAACTCACCAAATTTCTGAAGCTAATACCCTACTTTAAAACATATTTCTAGGATTTACTAAACTGTGGTCCCTGTGTTTGTTAAGCAAAGAAATACTCTGCTGAAAAAGAGAAATACACTTTTAAAGGTTGTGAATCAATCACTAATTGCCTACAGACAACTAGACAGAATGTCACTTGTGATCAAAAGTAGCCTCAATTTCAATGCAAAATGCAGATGTCAAGGAAAGTACTTTAACCTGTTGAAAACTTGATGTGTCAGGAATGGGCTGGTTCTTTTAAATGGGGTCCCTAGGATACCCCTCTTCTCTTCTCCCATGCTCTCAGCAACCAGTTCCTGTAACAAGAAAACACAGAAAAGTTGTTGTGGAATAGATAAGAAAAGAGAAGGAAAATGAACATCTTTCATAGAGCCATTTGGTTTTAATGATATGCAAAAGTCAAGTTTTGGGGACATTGTATATTTTTTTATTCAACATTATTTTAACAATTCCTATAAAATTAGATGGTGGACAACACAACTGCCACTATTTATTTGACTTACCAAGGGAGATAAGCAACCATATATAATGTGGCAACAGTCAATTGGATTGTGAGAACTTTCCTGATAGGGCTACAGTCTACAAAATATCAAGTAAATGGAAAAAAAGTATAGACTTCAAGGACTGAGCAGCAACAGCAGTGGAAAGACAGCATCCCCAACCATGCCCAGGACTTAAGCAAAAATTTGTGGCAGAGGGGCAATACACAAAAGAAAAAATCAAAGGGGTCTGAAAGTAGAAACTGAAAGGAGAGCTGAGATGTAGTCCAAAAAGGCTTTTGGAGCCCTAGACAGGCACGTCAGAACTGAAGGCTTGGACTGAAACTATCCGTTGTACTCTGCTTTTCAAGGACTGAGGAAAATTCTAAAAACAAGTCTGCTCTTTCCCCTGGTACCTCTCCCTGAGCCTGCCCAGTTGCAGACGCTGTGAAATACTCTGCTCATCTATCTTACATAAAAGTTTACTATTCTTACTTTCTGCCTGAAACATAAAATGGCTGAAAGCTAACTAGAGTTAAGCAAAAATTTGAATTAAGGCAGAGAACCAAACCTCTTTCTGAACGTTAGAAATTGTCCTAACTGCAAGTGCTGTTATTAAGTGGGTGAGTTATTAAGATTAAATTTTTTAAAGTTATTAATAATTCTTCTTCTGACACAAACTCCATAAATAGGGGAAATGACTATGTTAATCTGAAGCCTATTTTATTTCCCCTAGACAATGAACCAAATTCTGCCCAGTTTCTGGAGATGTCCACAACTTTAAATCCCGGCCACAGGAAAGAAAGTGAATCGATTGTAGAGCTGGAAAGGACCTCAGATGCCATCTAGTTTGGTCCAAACCTGGACAATAGCACTCTCTACAACAACCCTGACAAGTGCTTATACACTCTCTAGATGACCTCCAAGGAACAGGAGCACTCTACCCCCCGAGGCAACCAATTCTACTTTTTAAAAAATGTATTTAAAAAAATACAATTATTACTTTTAAGTATTTTTTTTTGTTTTCAAATTTTGAGTTCTAATTTCTCTCCCTCCCTCCCACTTTCTTCCACCCACTGAAAAGGCAAACAAATGATTTCAATTATACAGGTGAAATTATGTAAAACATACTTCCATATTAGCCATCACAAAAGAAAGCTAGAAGATTATACTTCAATTTGCACTGAGTTCATTAGTTCTCTCTCTGGAGGTGGATAGCATTTTTTCCTCATGAGTCCTTTGGAATTGCCTTGGATCATCGTATTAGAGTAGTTAAGTTTTTCACAGTTGATCATCATCATAATATCGCTATTACTATGTACAATGATCTCCTGGATCTTCTCACTTCATTTTGCATCAGTTTATACAGGTCTTAACGATGTTTTTTCTGAACCCACCTCCCTCATCATTTTTTTGTAGCACCATAGTATTCCATCACTAATGCCACAACTTGTTCAGGCATTCTCCAATTGATGAGCATCCTCTCGATTTCTGATTCCTTGCCACCACAAAAAGAGGTGCTATAAATATTTTGTACATACAGGTCCTTTTCCTTTTCCTTTTCCTTCGATTTCTTTGGAGTATAAACCTCATAGTGATATTGCTGGATCAAAGGATATGAATAGGTTTATAGTTCGAAATTGTCCTCCAGAATATTTGGAGCAATTCACAACTCTACCAATAGTTTATTAGTGTGCCTACAACAATGAAGTCAGCACAACAGCTCTGTAGACTTTCAGTTTGGTAGTCAGTTTTACAGCTCTTCTCTCCCACACTTTGCATTGGAGTCTCCCAAACATTGAGCGACTCTAGCAATGTATGTGTCAACCTCAAGTGACACAGCATTCAAAACTTCTCCATTTGCTGTATGTTACTGAAGGTTCCACGTATGGATGGTATGGTACTGACTGATGGAGCGCCTGTGTTTTCTTGGTGTTAATTGTTAGGCCAAAATTAGCATAAAGAATCAATCCATACTTTGTCATATCTCAGCTTCAGAGGCTGCACAGGACCACTCAGCATGGTGTGCCTACATCAGAGAAGGTGCTATGCTCTATGAGCAAAGAAGAATTGAAGCAGCTCAAAAGAAACATAAGAAGCGCAAATTTAGAGAATCCACCCCAAATGTTCACATGGGCTGTTTGTGCCTGACCTGTAGTAAAACATTCTGAACTCATATTGGTCTGAACAGCCACTGTCAGATACACTGTAACTTGACTCTGGCATAGTGATGTCGTTGTGGTCCTCTTTGAGAACAAAGGACAATAACCATTATTAGTGTACCTATTTTCCCTTATCCCCTCCAGCATGTCATTTCTGAGAGGTATAAGATAGTATCACAAAGTTGTTTTTATTTGCATTTCTCTAATCAATAGTGATTTAGAGCATTTTTCATATGACTATATTTAGCTTTGATTTTTTATTCTGAAAACTGCCTCTTTATATCCTTCAAACATCAAGTAGGGAATGGCTGTTATTTTTATAAATTTTCCTCAGTTCTCTATATATTTGAGGAACAAGACCTTTATCAGAGAAACTTGTAAAAAATTTTGATATTGCTTCATTATAGTACCTTTTAGCCAAATATTTCCCTGATCATCTCTTTTAATTAGGTTTCTTTTTGCTTTTGCTTTGTCTGAGATACAAATTGCTACCTTCTTTTTTTTTTTATTTAACTTCAGCTCAAGAGTAATAGATTCTGTTTCAGCCCTTTGTCTGTGAGTGTTTCTGTTTCAAGTGTGTCTCTTGTAAACAACATATTGTTGGATTCTGGTTTCTAATCCATTCGGCTCTCTGCTTCTGTTTTATGAGTAAGCTCATCCCACTCACATTCCCAGTGATGATGACTATGTATTTCCTTTCATCCTATTTTCTTCTGTTCATCCTTCTCTTTTTATCGTCTCTCCTCAAAATTCCATTTTGCTTCTGACCACTGCCCCCCATAATCTCCTCTCCCTTTTATCATTCCTCTGCCCCCATCTCTTATCCCCTTCTCCTCTTATTTCCCTATTGGATAAGATAGATTTCTATACCCAATTAAGGTGTGTGTGTGTGTATGTGTGTGTGTGTATACATACATATATGTATGTAAGTACACACGCGTACACACACACACGTATGTTCTCCGATCTTTGAACCAATTCCAATGAGACTGAGGTTCAAGTATTGCCCACCCACCTCCATTTTCCCCTCTACTATAAAAGCTCTTCCTTACATGCCTCTTTTACATGATAAAATTTTACCCATTCCACCTCTCCTTTCCCCTTCTTCCAATGCATCGCTCTTTCTTATTCCATTTTTTTTAGATCATCCTAAACACAATCAACTCACATTCATGCCCTCTTGTCTATGTAGACTCCTCCAAAATGCTTTAATAAGGATAAAGTTTTTAGGAGTTACACAGATCATTTTCCCATGTAGGAATATAAACAGTTTAACTTTATTGAGTCCCTTATGATTATGCTTTCATGTTTACCCTTTTATGCTTTTCTCTTCAATCTTCTGCTTTAATGTCAGATTTCCTATTTAGCCCTGGTCTTCTCATCAAGAGTGCTTGAAAGTTCTCTGTTTCATTAAATACCTATTTTTTCTCTTGAAGGATTACATTCAGTTTTGTTGGGTTATCCTTGGTTGTAATCCTAGCTCTTTTGCCTTCTGGGATATCATATTCCAAGCCATCTGCTCCTTTAACATACAAGCTGCTAAATCTTGTGTGATCCTCGCTGCAGCTCCATGATATTTGAATTATTTCTAACTGGCTCCTTGGAATATTTTTTTCTTGACCAGAGAGCTCTGGAATTTGGCTATTAATAGTCCTTGAAGTTTTTGTTTTGGGATCTCTTAGGAGGTGATCAATGAATTCTTTCAATTTCTATTTTACCCTCTGGATCTAAGATATCAAGGCAGTTTTCCTTGATAATTTCTTGAAAGATGATGTCTAGGCTCTTTTTTTGATCACGGCTCTCAGGTAGTCCTACGATTCTTAAATTATCTCTCCTTGATCTATTTTCCAGGTCAGTTGTTTTTTCCGATGAACTATTCGACATTTTCTCCTATTTTTTCATTCTCTTGACTTTGTTTTATTGTTCCTTGATGTCTCATTGAGTCATTAGCTTCCACTTGCCCAATCTGATTTTTAAGGAGTGATTTTCTTCAATGAGCTTTTGTACTTCTTTTTCAATTTGGCCTTTTTAAATCAGCACCAGCTGGAGCCAGTATCAGCAAAGGAACCTCTGTAATCTCTTTCTGACCAGTTGTAAAGCCTCCACTCTCCTCTTCCCTTTACTGTATCTGGGTTGAGAGCTCCTGAAAGCTGCTGCTGCTGCCATTATCACAGCCACCTCAAAGACCCATAGCTGTCTCTGCTGCTGCTCTCCAGGCTCCCACCTGGGTGTCACAGACATCTCCTGCCAACCTCCTAAGTTGTCTTAGGCTGGAAAAAACATCTCACTCTGACCCACTATTGGCTCTTCCACTCCAAAATTTGATTTGAGGAGTTATTTTCAAGTTGTTTGGAGGAGAATGTCATGAGAGTTCAGCTGGATAGTTGCCTGTACTCTGCAATCTTGGCTCTGCCCCCCAACCAATTCCACTTTGGGACAACTCTATTATAAGGTTCTTTCTTACATCAGGCACAAATCTGACTACCTGTAACTTTCACCCATTATGACTGGTTTTGTCCTCTGGAGCCAAAGAGAATAAATCTAATCACTGTTCTACAACACCCCTTCAAACACTTTTTGATCATTGTTTGCCATTCCCTGTCCCCAGATTATCACTTTTCTAGGTTAAACATTCTAATTTCTTCAACAGATGTTCATATGGTGTCTCCTTTAGCCTCTTCACTATGCTGGTTACTCTCCTTGGGATGTACTGCAGTTTGTCAGTGTCCTTCTTAAAATGGTGACCTCAGAACTGAACACAGTAGTACATATGTGGTCACACCCTCATCCCCTCTCTGCGGTGTGCTACAAAATACATTTGGACTCTCACCTTCTGCATACTGAACATCATGTGCCTCATAATAAAGGCAAAGCACCTGCTTACAGTCAAATACTTTCAATGCTTTCAATCATTTTAAGATGTACATCTTGCTCTGTTTTCTTAAATTAAGGCCATCAAGTGACCACTTGTAAGAATTCTCCCAACAGAGACTCATCAGTTTAATTATTTTCTTATCTTAAGATGCAGTTAAATCTTTGTTGCTCACATTCTCTGCCACCACCCATGCTTTGGAAAGGAGAATTTTTAGATATCTGAGTTTTCATCTGACTTACCGCAGAGGACTCACAGCCAAAAATCCACAACAAGTCATCCAGATCTTTTTCTGTGACTGTTTCATCAAGGGAAATGCCAAGCTATAAACCCAAACCAAAAAAAAAAAAAAAGAAAGAAAGAAAGAAAGAAAGCAAGCATTAACTTAGACTTCTAGGACTTCTAGAGAAACCCCAAATGAATCAGAAATTGCTAGACAACATCCTCATTAGCCTAATGGAACACAGCTAGTTATGAAGACAATAAAAGACATAAAGCTTAAAGGATCCTTAGATATCATCTAGTCAGGTTGAATGTTCCCATTCTAAAGATTAGGAAATTAAAGTCCAGAGAAGTAAAGTGACTTCTTAAGCTGCCAACTAGAAGAGATCATCCCACTCCAAAGCCAGTGTTCCTTCCATTATGATGTAATTGCCACACTTATTCTAATCTACTTGACCTTCAAGGTAAATAACATCTACCTGCCCATGTCACCATGAGGGAAGGGACAATGAAAAGTATTAAAGGGATTCTGCCCCCACAGCTTCACTTCCTCTGGCACGCCCAGAGTTCTGAGTCATTCAAGACTTTGATGATAGCAAGAGACAAATGACAGTGTTGTGTTCTGGCTGTTCCCCATGACCAAGAGAGTCATGGTCAGAAGTGGAAGTCTGGATGCACTGTGATCAAAGATCTGTACTCAATTCTAATGTTGCTTTGGCTCCATATCAGGAAATAGGAAGTAGGATAGGATTTTCCCTTATTCTCCCACAGGTGGAGAGAGGTTAAGTGACTTGCCCAAAATCAATTAACAAATTGAAAAGTCAGAATTAGAACTCAGCTCTTCTGACCCAAATCTAATATTCTTTCCCCTAAAATAGGGGAGAAATGCAGCCTTGGAGGAGAGTATCTACGAATGAGAATGGTACAACAGAATGACCCTCCATCTCTGATCATGAAAATGAACTTGGACTACAATAATTACTATTACTACTACTACCACCTACTACAAAATAATGATGACAACTAATATTTACATAGCACTTTAAGGTTTTTGCAAAGCACTTTAAGGTTTTTGCAAAGCACTTTACATATGTTATCTCATTTGATTCCTTCCTTGTGAGAGCAGCTAGGTGGTGTAGTGAATAGAGCGCTGTGGCTGGAGTCAGGAAGACTAATCTTCCTAAACTCATATCTGGCTTCAGACACTTACTACCTGTGCGCCCTTGGGGAAGTCACTTAACCCTGATTGCCTCAGTTTCCTCATCTATAAAATGAACTGTAGAAGGAAATGGCAAACTACTCCAGTATCTCTGCCAAGAAAACCCCAAATGGGGTAATAAAGAATTGGACATGACTGAGAAATGACTGAACAACAACTATTATTATCTGCATTCTATAGATTAGGTCCCTGAGGTGGAAGAGGTTAAGAAATTTCCTTGGGGTCATACAGACACAAACTAATAGAAAGTGAATCTCAAAGATGAAAAGACTTTGGCTCAAGAACTACTTCTGATGCCTACTGTTTGTGTAACCCTGGACAAGTCATTTAACATCTCAGTGTTCTAGGCAACCATCTAAGACTATAAATTGCAGGGAAGGGGCCAAGTTGCCTGGACAGGAGAGTTTTATCACCTGGAAGTTCCCTATCTTAAAGAAATCCCTATCCTTAGGAAAGTGACAGACGTCACTATCCAGAGATTGCCACAAAGGACAACATAAAATCCTAAGAACCAAGAACCAAGTGTCATGTGAAAGACATATGCCTGTATTTCCATGTCTGAAAACACAGAACTCTTCAATAGATAGGAGATACTTAGCTTGTGGCAAAATTAAGACATGCTAACCTCAGTGGAGGAAAAGAGATTTCCAAAATATATAGCAGCATTTGTTAAAAGACTCAAAGTGACAAAGAAGTGGAAAGCTCAACTTTTAGTCCCACTTACCGTGCCATCTCCAAAAAGCCGGAAGTTGATCTGCCGCTGAGCTGCTCTATCCAAAACCTCATTTAGGGAACAGCCACATTGGATCTTCAAGGTATCAAAGAACAATTCATGTTGTAGCTTGTGGCCAGCTCGCTTAAGACCTAGGTGAAAACAAAAAACAAAAACAAACAAACAAAAAAACCCAGGATAGCTAGCTTTATTATAAACAAAAAACTCTTCTATGGATGTTACAAAAAATAAGTTAACATTTATATAGTGCCTACTATGTGCCAGGCACTGTGCTAAGTACTTTACAATTATTACATCATTTCATCTTCACAACAACTTTGGGTGGTAGGTGCCATTATTATTCCCATTTTACATAGGAGGAAACTGAGGCAAACAGGATAAGTGACTTGCCCAGGATCATAGAACAAGTAAGTGTCTAGAGCTGTATTTGAACTCCTCTTCCTGATTCTAGGCCTGGTGCTCTATACACTGAGTCATCTCACTGCCCTAATTGTCGCATTGCATCATGAAACTGTTTTCTCCTTCCTAAGTCTATGTTGTTTAATTATGGAAAGAAGGAAGGAAGGAGGAAGTATTTATTAAGTGTCTACTTAATATACTGAGCACTTTATATATATTATCTTATTCAATCCTCACAACAACCCTTTGAGATAGGTACTATTATTACCTCCATTTTACAGTTGAGGGAACTGAAGCAGACAGAAGTTAAGTGACTCACTGAGGGTCACAGAGCTAATAAGTTATCTGAGATCAGATTTAAACTCAGGTCTTACTAACCACTGTACCACCTAGTTGCCTCTAGATGAAATTTTGAAAAAGATACAGCAATATGTAAGGGCATATGAAAACATTAGCTTGAAGATGCTCAGTCTACCAATGCAGATGCATCCTCCATGCCTTAACTAATAATCTTTATGAGTTCTCAGCTTGGAACATCTCTCAGCCATGTTGGCCCCTTTTTCTCCCATTGTCAAATTCTTTCCAGGAATTTAGAAGGACCCAGGCTAGACAGGCTTCATTCCCCTCCCAGCTGTGCTTCTAACTCTTCACCCCACCCCACCAACTGTTCAGTTTCTTTTTCTATGTTGACTTCCCTCATGAGGATGAAAGCTTCCTGGGGGATAACGCTTGCTTTCTTTTTGCTTACATTCATATCACCAGATCTTAGCACAGTGCCATCATAAATGCTGAATAAATTCTTGTTGCTTACTTGCCTGCCCAAGTTGCTATGGCCAAAAAAATTCAAGGTGGCCAACTTTCTGGTAATGAACTTCTTTAAATTTAGCTAGACTGATGTTTAAACAACATACTCATATATTACTTGATTCACACTCAAAGCCTTTGAAGTTTAATAGAACCAGCCGGACCTTGCATAGAACAAGACAATCCCCCCACCCCTGTGAAAGAGAGGCTGAGAAAGAAGAAAAGGAGAAGGGAGAAGAAGAGGAAGGAAGTAAAGAGGAAGGAGGTGCCAAGGATGAATCTGAAGACAAGGAAGGTAAGGAAGAACAGGGCAGTAAAACTGGAGAGGAAGGTGAGGAGGCCTAAGTGGAGGAAGACAAGAAGGAAGAAGATACTGCTGGAGAATAAGCTGTAGAGCAGAAGAAGAAAGACTGAATTCCTTTTTCCTGACTATTTTAGGTTTCCCCTCAGTCAGGTCAACAAGCCCACCACTACACAATCTGTTGAGTACTGAATGCTGTAAAGAATAAGGAACCAGATATTTAAAACAAGCAAAACCAACTAATCTGAGATGATGTAGATTGAAAAGTGATTGTTGTGCTAAATGTATCTATGTTGTGCTAATGTATGTTGTGCTAAATGCTAAATCTATGCAAGAGTATTTGGCGTGCTTCTTGATAGCTTCCTTGGCTTGCTGCCAGACTACTCATGATACATACTTATGAATTCTGGGTTGATAGCAGTATGGATGATTCAGACATTGACAATTAAAAAAAAAACCATGAATAAACAAACTTGATATAAATGTTAAACTTGATAAAATTTAATTAATCTTTGGAAATCTTTGGTGGTTAGAAAATAATGAGCCCAAGTTATGTGCAATAACTAGCAAATAAAGGCATCCTCAAATGGCATTATTTATATTATAATCAAAAATAAATAAATAAAAATAGGGCAGCTAAGGGGCACAGTGGAGAGAGCATTTCAGGAAGACCTGAGTTCAAATATGGCCTCAGACACTTGACACTTAATAGCTTTGTGGCCTGGGCAATAGGGCCTGATTAACCCTATTTACCTCGCAAAAAAAAACAAAACAAAAACAAAAACAAAAAAAAAACCTGGAATAACCTTTGAGAAACCAAGGTCACCTTCAAGCCATGATGAAAGACAGGAAGACCTTGGTGAAGGCAGGGAGAGATATTTTAAGCTTAATTTTGTGTGTTTTCCACCCCCAATAGACACTGTAAAACACATAGAACCCATCGAAGCATGAAATTATTATTATATAGATTAGGACAGAATGTAAGCCAAATCATATCCCTCAAAAGATAACAACTTAAGATGGATATATGTTTTGCATGATTTCACATGTATAATTGATATCATATTGTTTGCCTTCTCAGTGCATGAGGGAGGGGTAAATGGAAGAGAGAGAATTTAGAACTCAAAATTTTAAAAGAATGTTTAAAATAAATAAATAATTATTTTTTAAAAGAAAAAAATAACAACTGTACATACAAGAAAAATCTGAAGACAAACTGTTTGATGTTCATCTTTAGACATCATCAGCACTTAGCACAGTGCCTCGTTTTCTTTTAATTTAATATGGAGCAACGTGGTTATGATGAAAAGAAGATTGCCTGTAGAGCTAGAAAACCTGAATTTGAATCTTGGCTATACTACTTACTGCCCTGTCATCTCTATTGGAGTAACTTAACCTCTCTAGGACTCAGTTTCTTCATCTCTAAAATGAGGGGATTGGATAAAATGTCTTCAAAGGTCCCTTGTGGCTCTATATTCTATAATACTATAATACAAACATTATTTCCTAATGTAGGAGTTTTTTAAAGTTTCTTAATGAAAATTCTAAATACTGTAAAAGAAATTTGCAAAGAGTAAAAGCTTATCATCACTGAAGCAGTATTATTTGGATACATAAATGGTAATTTTCCAATTTAAAATAATTTAAAAACCAATTTAAAAATAATTTAAAAATCAATGGCCCATACATGGTTCAATTTATTTAGCTGAGCCAGTATCTTTACCTATACACAATAGTGTGCTGGAGGCAGCTTGTACCTGCTTGAGAAAGTAGAATGAAATTTTCAGTGTGAGTGGTTTACACCTTGTAGGCAAATGTTACAAATCAGGGCTTGATTATTGTTTTGCTGATTGTCTAGAATTGTCGTCCAACAAGAACAGCAAGCAGCACATCCCTGGTTAGGTTCATGGGTCTCAAAAGATTGTGCTTTGTAAATTATAACATGATGTACAAATGTTAGCTTTCATTATTACATGGAAATGTTATGGGAGGGAGAAACACAAATGGCTAAAATACAAAGAAGTTTTAGTTGACTGTGAATTGATAGTGTGACTATAACTGACATTGAATTGATAGTGTGCCTACAACTGCTTTTAAAAAAAAAAGTTATGTTGCATGAATATAGGGATAGGGTGATGAAAAAGAAAAGACCATTGGACTTGGATTCAGAAAACCTGAAGTCATGTCCCAGCTCTGCTTCTCAATGGCTGTGTGACCTTGGGCAAATTGTTAAGGTCAGACTTGGGAGGGCGGTTCCAGTGTGAAAAGAATTCACTTAGACAACTTTCTCTTAACCAATGGGAGCTTTTCATTTTAAGTGAAAAAGCATCACAGTCCCTACTGATGAGAAGCTAATGAAAGGCCCTGATATTGGGGGGACCAGGCTGATATAGACAGAAAGCTATACAGCCTGTAGATGTTTCAGGATGATGATGTAGTTTTAGGGTTTTATGGTAGTTGAAGATTAAGGAAGAATTTTATAGCACAGGATAGGAGAAATGTTTGACAGGATAAGAAGGACAGGGAGACACAGGATAAGGGGAAAAAAGCAATTCTTTTGGTCTTACAAGATAAGGAGAAGTTCTATGGTATTTCAAGATAAGGGGCAAAGGACTTTAGGACAACCTCAAGTTACTGAATTAGCTACAGAATAAGCCCCAACCCCCTCAGGGGGGTTTCACAAAGTACTGGAAAATGAACCCTTAATCATCTTTCTAACCCTTGGGGTACAGTTTGTATCCACATCATTTCTCCACCCAATCCCTAGCTCAGAGAAATCTTTGGGGGTGGGGGGAGAAGGGGCAGAGGTGATTGTCTTCAGTATCTACTTCCTGCTGAACAGGCAAGCGCAAATCTGACCTCAACAAAATGATTTATCTGTGCCTCTCTCTCCTCACATAGAAATAGAGAGGGTCAAAATACATGACCCATAAGGTCCATTCCAGTTCTGACATTCTGTAAAAATTAATCTAGAGAGGCAACTTCTGTGAAGTGGATAGAAAGTTGGCTTCAAGAAGACCCAGGTTTGGGGCACCTAGGTGTTGCAGTGGATAAAACGCCAGCTCTGGAGTCAGGAGGACCTGAGTTCAAATCCAGCCTCAGACACATAACACTCACTAGGTGTGTAACTGTGGACAAGTCACTTAACTCCAATGGCCTCACCAAAAAAAAAAAAAGACCTAAATTCGAGTCTTATTTTGGGCATCTACTGGCTATGTGACCCTGGGCAAGTCTCTAAGCCTCTCAGTACCCTAGGCAACTCTCTAATAGAACCCACAGAACAATTGATAATCTGCATTTGTAGAGGGAATTTCCAGACTGGGAAATCCCTCAACCAGTGAGATCACAGGTTTAAACTCCACCCCTTCCCCACCACAACAAAAAACAACAACAATAACAACAACAACAACAACAAAAGAAACACCCCTCCACCCAGATTCTAAAGTGATGATTATGGATTATTACTAGTTAATACTAAGCATTCATTGTACCTTTCAATAGCTTAAAAATAAAGTTAACCAGAAAAAATATAAGATTCCAAACTACTTTCCAAATCTCCTTGACAACAATATTAATGTCCCTTACAAATACAAGATTCTTCTTCTGAACATTTGAAAAACTCATCTCCAGTATAATCTAATGGAATTAACTTTGAATTTGGAGTCAGAACTAAGACATTTATGATTTGCACAACTAAGCACAAGGAACATCACTTCTCTGACTCTCAGTTTTCTCAACTATAAAATAGAAGTAATAAAGATAATAATACTTGGATGACCTATCTCACAGAGTTATTGATCCTGTCAATCTTATAAAGTACTATGGAATGTGAATTATTATGATGTTACTGTGATGGCAAAAAGTAAAAGCTAGTTAGTTGCTATGGTTGGTGATGAAGCAGTCGAGTCCAATGATAGGAATTCCTCTGAAAGGAAGAATGTACATACTATATCCTTTCTCAAACCATGAGGTTTACATTAGACAAACTACTCACCTTCTGCTAGAATCAAGGTGGCATTATGCACCCTCCTGGCAATGTGCTTGAGCCCACTGGAGCCATGGTAGATGGCAAACATGGAGGCCACGTTAGCCAAAAGGGCCTAAAAAGACAAGTACATTCAGAAATTGTAGTCCAGGTGCAGCTAAAAGTGTGATGTTAGTGTGATGATCACTGGATATTGGAAGTCAAGTCTGAAAACCAGCTGATGTTATGAATTCTATACTGAAATTCTCTGTTTGACCATTCAAGAAATGACAATTGGAGTATTCATTTAAGAGTTCAGCACAAAGATAAACTAAAGAGGGCTTTCCCCCCATATATACACATATGTGTGGGTATGGGTGTGTGTGTGTGTGTGTGTATGTATACACACACACATATATGTAGATAGATATACACACATGTATGTGTGTGTATATATGTAGATGGATAGATATATACATGGGAAAGGCATCATGGTATAGCAGAAAGAATGCTCCAACTGGAGTTGGAGGATCTGAGTTCAAATCCTGGCTCTGACACTACCTATACAACCTGGAGAAGTCACTTGAAATCCCTGGGCCTTGGTTTCCTGATCTGTAAAATAAGAGTAGGACTAAATGACTTGTAGCATCCTTTCCAATTCTAAATCCATGGTCCTATAATAAGTAATTTGTGCAGTGTGCTTCTGCACAAGAAGGCAGTATAAAACAGTGGGAGCCAGAAGACCTGAATTCTGATCCACTGACCCACTGATGTTGGGTAAACTGCTTTGTCTTCTTATTTGTAAAATGGCAAAAACATACAGGTTATTACCAACTTTCCGGGGCAAAAACAAGGAAAGTACTTTGTATTCATTGATACCCTAGAAAAATATGATCTGTTATTAATATTTTAATTAATTAAATTAATTAATTTAATTAATATTCTGCCCCTGACTTGCTGTGTAACCTTGGAGAAGTTCCCTCGCTGGGCCTCAATTTCATCTTCTGCAAAATGAGGGTGGCTAAACTAGATGAAAAGGCAGCTAGATGATTCAATGGATAGAGCACTGGGCCTAGAGTCAGGATAGACCTGAGTTCAAATCTGACCTCAGACACTAGCTGTGTGACCCTTGGCAAGTCACTTAACTTCTGTTAGCCTTAATCCACTGAAGAAAGAAATGGCAAACCACTTTAGTATCTTTGCCAAGAAAACTCTATGGACAGTGGGTCCAGGGTCACAAAGAGACAGATACAACTGAATGAATGAACAATAAACTATGTGAGCTCTCAGGGCCATCATTCATTTAAATGGATTTCCCATGTAATGTCAGACTTTTTCTATGTATTAGTTTTGCTGAACTGCTTTTTTCCCCCCTCCTCTTTCTTTTTTAGTCATTATTGTAAGGGATAGCTCTGTCTGGGAGGAGGAGAGGGAGAAAAATATATTGGGAAATGTCAGTGATAGAAAAACAGAAAATATCAACAATTTTAAAATATTTTTTTTAAATAAAATAGTCTTCCTTTCATGCAGCAGGGGTTATTATTGCAAGCCATTTAATTGTGCAGATATATTCATTTGTTTTGTACCTGAGCTGTACAGATGTTGCTTGTAGCCTTATCTCTCCTGATGTGTTGTTCTCGAGTCTGCAGAGCAAGACGAAATACTTCCTTTCCTGCTGCATCCCTGGGTCAAAGAAGAAAGAATTTGGTCAACCTGACTCACCACCAGCTGAGGTTATCTACACTGATGCTTTCCTCACTAAGGAAAGAGGCATTGCCCTGTGCCATGTGAGGAGCTCATTCTTCGGACCACTTATCTTTGATCCAAATGTTCCCCTTTGCATCAAGAGAAGGAAAGAGGAACAGCCAGACGTTTAGCCCTATATTTTGCCTAAGCTAAACCAACCTCAAGTGGTCTCTTTAGCCCCAAAGGAAATGATTATATGCATGCAAAAATGTATAGTCACAAAGACAGAATTTTTCAATAGTTGGAAAAGAATTCCTGTCATCTAGTCTATTGTGGAGATATCACTCACTAGAGGACCTTTAAAATAAGAATGCTTAAAAGATTTTAATATTTAATTCTATCAACTGAAAAAGTGATTAAGTTCCCTCTCCCCTCTTCCCTTTTTTTGTTTTCAGAACAAAATAGCTCCAAAAGTTCATGTTAACTAACTAGGCTATTTGCTCACAGGTATTATTTGCTCAGCTGCTAACATATGGTCTAATAGATAAAGCCAGTTTTTCCCAGTGACTGTCATGGGGTTTCAGGAATGACACAGCTTGACACTTGAAAAATGTAGAAACCCTCAAGTAAATACACAAAGAGCCACATGAAGGTCAAAGTCCTGCAGATGCCTTTAAGACATCCCATGGTTCAGACTCAAACTAATGCTGGGAAAATTTCTAAAAGCACTTGGCTTCAAATACTTGTAGGATGTATTAATATAATGAAGGAAAAAGGATAAACAAGTATGAAACCACCTCCAAAGCTCAGAAATTTCCTAAGATAAATGATTATTTATTCATGTGTTCATTCAAAAATTAATGACCTACTGTGTCCAGGACACAGTACTATGTGCTAGGGGAGACACAAAGATTACATAAAATAGGATCCACTTCCTTATGGAGTTCTAACTGAGAAGGAAGATAAAACAAAAATAGACATAATACACTTTACATGGCATGTGCATCAGGGAAGTACAAAATATGAGGTTTAATGAGAAAGGCAATTTCTTGGAGGGTAAGGAGGGCAGGTATTTTCAAGAGAGGCTTCTCACAGGAGGTGACATTTGAGTTGGATTTTTTTCAGAATGATTATCATTGAAATACAATGCTAATAAATTCTAGTTAATCTGCACATGCATAATCTTATCTGCATCAATTCTGGAGTCCATAATAAAGCATTCTAGAAGAAACTGCGCAATTGCCTACACCTACTGAAAATTATCTTGACAAAATCCAATGCAGGCTTAGAATGGCATTGGACTACGAAATGAAGGGCCATAAATAGAATTTGTCTGTCCCTCAGGGGAGTGATGATCTTATCCTGAGAGGGAAACCTCATGGACAGATATAACCAATGACCCAGCCCTATTCCTGGAACCAGTTTCACCAAGAAATTGAGTGCAAGTGACAGAGTCAGAGGGTCAAAGAATACAACTCCTGTTAGAAGGTACCATGAGAACACCTATTGCTACCCCGTGGTGGGAAACTGAAAGCTACTGCTTCCCAAAAGATGTGGTAGCCGAGCAGTCTCATTCTTTTACTGCAGCTATGCACATCCTCGAGGAGGCTGGGAAGTAGGATAGTGTTTCCTGTACTGAAAGGCTATTCTTTCCTCTGCCTCTGAAGAGAACATAGCAAAAGTACAGAGCACAGGGTGGTGTGGTGGATAGAGCACCGACCCTGGACTCAGGAGGACCTGAGTTCAAATCCAGCCTCAGACACATAACACTTACTAGCTGTGTGACCCTTGGCAAGTCACTTAACCCCATTGCCTAGCCAAAAAAAAAAAGTGCAGAGCACTTTCTGGTCTTGATATTTAGGGGAAGAAACCAGGGAAAGTACTAAACCTGAAAAAGGGAGAATCCAGGCTTTACCTTGTCACTCCCACCATTCTTCCAGGCATCATTCTCACCAAGTTTTCCCGGAGAGCAAAAAAGGCAGCATGTGGTCCCCCATAGCACAATGGCACCCCAAATCTTTGGGAAGTCCCCAAGGCAATGTCAACCCCAAATTCTCCTGGTGGTCTCAGTACACAAAGAGCTAGTAGGTCAGTAGCACAGCAAGCCAGAGCCTAAAATGAGATAAAAGGATGGAATCTACCAACAAGCCTTTATTTAGCACATATAAACTCACATATACTCACATATGTACATGTATTTTCTTTAATGTCCAAAGGGAAGCAGCATAATGTAGTGCTGAATTTAGTCATGGGATACCTGAGTTCAGATCCTAGCTCTGCCTTGTTATTATATATGTGACTTTGGGCAAGTAAAATAACCTTCCAAGCCTCAGTTTTGTCATCTCTAAAATGAGGAAATTGGACTAAACGAATTCTAACCTAAGGTCTTGAGTTTAATTGTAGAGGTATGATTCTGTGCTTTTCCTCAGTACTTGCTAATGCTTTTGGTAGGAACTTAATAAATATTTGTGAAATTTGTGTTTTCTTTCTTTTTTCCTATTTCTTATCACCTGTAGAAAGAGTGAAACAAATGATCCCAAAGATACAACAATAGTACTTGTTTTCTGTATGGAAAAGGGCAAAATGCCCATTTTGCTCAAAATTAAGGACAAGAAATATTTATTTATAAATATGTGTATACATATATGTATATACATATATGTATATATGTGTGTATATATGTATATACATCTATTAATCTATCTATCTATCTATCTAGATAGATAGATATACACACACATGTGTGTGTGTGTCCATGTTCCAAAAAACCACAGAGCTATTGAAGATGAAAGTTTTCAAATTATAAAGAACAAATTTGGTCCAAAAGAAGAGATAAAAGAAGACACATCCTCTCACCCTTTGCAGAAGTAGGGGACAGGAACTCACAGATGTAGAACATCAAATGTCAGTCTATTTTCTTCCTTTTTTCTTTTCTTTTTAAAAATTTATCAATATGTATTTTTCAAAAGTTAATGTTCTAATTCCATGTTCATTAATCAATGCTCATTGAATAAATGAGTGATGGAATAGGATCTTATGTTTCCTTAATGCCTTTTTTCAACATTTATTCACATAGATTGTGTCATGTTTTTGAACCATAGTTATGTGACTTAAGGATAGAGTCCTACCATTCTCACTACTTTTGTTCCAAGGGCAAATACAAAATGCCCTGTTTGGCATTCAAATCCCTTCATAACCAGTCCCCTCCTACCTTTCCAGTCTTCATACATCTTATTCCTGAACATGTACTCTTCAATCTAGTGACACCTGCCTCCCAGCTTTTCTACAACAAGACACTTCATCTCTCAGCTCCAGGCATTTTCTCTAGCTGTCCCCCATGCCTGGATTCTTCTCCCTCCTCATCTCCACCAACTGGTGTCCCCAGCTTCCTGTAAGTCCCAATTAAAATCCCACTTTCTACAGGAAGCCCTCATAATTCCAGTGCCTTCCTTCTTTTAATTATTTCTTATTTATCCTGGTATATAGCTTGCTTTATATATATTTGTTTGTATGTTGTCTCCCCCATTAGATTATAAGCTCCTTGAGGGCAGAAATTGTCTTTTGTTTCTTTTTGTATCCTCAGCTCTTAGCACAGTGCCTGGTATACAGTAGGCACTTAATAAATGCTTGTTATTGACTGATTGATGATGACAATGGATGGTATCCTGGACAGAGTTAGACTTGTAACAAGGAAAACTTCGATCCAAGTTTCTCCTCTAACACACGCTGCTTGGTGACCCTGAGCGAGTAACTTAACTTCAGTGCTCTAGCTAACTCTTACTAAGACTATAAGTTGCACAGAAGGTACCAACAAGTATTGGTAGTACCTATCCTCAGTAAATATTTTGGTTCCTTATACATGGTAGGTGCATAATGTTCAATTGAAATGGATTGTTTCTAAACATAAAGGAGTATAAAGGAAATGAAGTCGATAAGTTGACCGCAGAATTGGCCACATTAAAGCCCTGCCTTGGTACAATGAGTTTCCCCATACCAGATTTTCCTATACTAATAAAATCGAAGGGGATAATCCTTATCCCTAATAATAATAGCTAACATTTATATAAGAGTTCAAGGTTTGAAAAGCACATTTGATCTTCACAATTCCCCTGTGAAGTCAGTGCCATTATTACCCCCTCTTGTCTAGGTGAGGATTAGAGGTTAATCAGAAAGGTTAGGTGACTTGCCACACAGCTAGGATTTGAACTCAGGTCTACATAAGTGCTAGTCCAGCACTCTCTCCACTACCCACCTATTAAGTGCCTTTCATCAAAGAAATCTATGACCTCATTATTGTGGGTGCTATCTCCCCACCATGCTGATCACAACTCCTCTGACTTAGGAGAGGTCTTCAAAAGTTGCTACTACTGGAGGTAGCTAGGTGGCACAATGGATAGAGCCTTGGCTCTGGATTCAGGAGGACCCGAGTTCAAATCTGATTCAGACACATAACACTCCCTAGCTGTGTGACTCTGAGCAACTCACTTAACCCCAGCTGCCTCACAAAAAAAAAAAAAAGTTGCTACTGTTGAAAAACCATTGGTGTGGGCTTTTTCCTTTTACACAGAGGAAAATTAAGGAGTCAAGAAATAGGTCAAAGATGAAATACACCTCAGTAAGTTCTGGTCCTACCCCATGCTGGTGGGCTCTATCCACAAGCTCCATGAAGTCTTCCACCTTCCCCTCCGTGTCTGGATACTGAAACAGCACTCCACTCACATCTTTATCCCTGAAGTCCATTTCATGAGGCAATTTCAACTCAATGGTGACCCCAATGTAACTGAGAAGTAAAGAAATAGCCATCAGATTACACACAATTGGAGTATTTACATCTTATATTTAGAAAGGGAAAATGGTATCGAAAAATAAATTTCTTCCAAATAAGCCCAATGGTGCCCAAGTTGGGCAGTGGAACCAGCCCTGAATGGTGCTGTAAGGCAGGAGAAGTTTGTGCTCTCCGCCCCAAGGGACCCCTTCAGCACCCTGTCCCTTTCAGTTGTACCGCCTTCTTACCCTCCCCCAGCTGTTCAGTGCACTAGTGATCTCTTTCTCTCATATTCTTCTAAAACCTGCCCTTAGGAATGAATCTGAAGCTAATTCCCCAGAAGATGTAAACAATTTAAAGTTTTACTTTCTTACAGGAGTCTTTTCATAATAACAAAGATAAAAGTCTTAAGCTAAAGAAATGAAGTTATAATAATAAAATCTGGGATATAAATAAGGACATTGAGGAGATTTGGGAGTGGGGTACCATTTTCTTCCTGGATTCCCCAAAATCACTCCACATAAGAAAACTCTTAACTAGGTACCAAACTATAAGGAATTACCAAGACAAATTAGTGGAAAATAAAGTAACCAGTATCTGTCCCAGTAAAGTACATACAAAGGGGTCTGGGGGTCCAGTGTTGGGACTGCCTATAGTACAGGCTCTATAGATGGGCTCTGGACACTTCTAGAACCTTGTATCAGAAAGGATTCCTCTCGGGGCAGCTAGGTGGCGCAGTGGATAGAGCACCGGCCCTGAAGTCAGGAGGACCTCAGTTCAAATGTGACCTCAGACCAAACACTTGACACTTACTAGCTATGTGACCCTGGGCAAGTTACTTAACCCCATTAGCCAAAAAAAAAAAAAGAAAGAAAGGATTCCTCTTCTCTGAACATTTTACTACAAAAGCAAAGGAAGCAGAAACTTTTTGATAGTTTCCCTCTATGTAAAACAGGAAAGAAAAGAAAGTATCAGCGAAAAGAACATTGTTGGTTGTATCCCAGCATAGGACTCAATGTCCAACCTATGTAACCCAAGGTAAGTCAATCTGTTTGAGAAGTAGGGAAGAGAAACAATATAGGCAAATCTTATTCTTAATGTCGAAATACAAATGAAAAAGAGTTACTTGGCTCGAGTCTGGACAACAGCTATCGTCTGTGGGTGGCACCGAGGGTCAACATAAAATTTCCTATTTTTGCTGTGTCTGTCAAAAAAAAAGAAAGAAAAAAAATTGTACAAAAACACATAAAGATCTAAAAGATCATTTTCTTGTAAGAACATAAAGAAAGATCACTTTATAGGATCATAGGATTCAGAGTTAGAAGGTATCTTAGAAATCATCTAGTCTTAACCAGAGGGTCTTAATGGTTTTTTTTGTTTGTTTGATTGTAAAGAGCTTTGAAGACCAAGCTGAAGTATTTGCATTATATCATAGCGGCAATGGGAACTGCTAAAATTTCTTTAACAAGAAAGTGTCATAGTCAGACTTGTGCTTTAGGAAGATTAGGGATTGTAGTAGGGACAGGTTGGGAGACCAGCTAGGAGGCTGTTTCAATAGTTGAGGCAAAAGGATTTGAAATGACGTTATAGAGTCATTGAATTATCTAGTGTGTGGATGGAAGGGGATAGATACAAGATACTTGTGGAGTTAGAATTCATGTGACTTAGCAACATGTAGGATGTTGTGGTGATGAGGGAAGGAGAGTCAAGGATGACTCTTTAAGATTTCAAACTTGAATGACTGGAAGGATGGTGGTGCCCTCAATAGAAATGGGAAATTTTAGAAGAGGTGTGAGGTTAGGGGAGGAAGGTGATTTCTATTTCGGATACCTTGTATTTGAAATGCCTAGGGAAGATCCATTAGAAGATCCAATAGGCAGTTGGTGTATATGAGATTAGAGCTCAGGATGAGCTCAAGAGAAAGATTATATTGGACATATAAATCTATGAGTCATCTGCATAGAGATTAAACCCAAGAGAGCTGATAAGATCCCTAAAGAGGAACCAGACAGAGCTTTGGTAGACATCCATGATTAAGGTATGGGATGACCTAGTAAAGGAACCTGAGGAGTGGTCAGACACTGACCTTCCAATCTTCCCCATAGGGGGAGAACCATCATAATGAAAAGCAAGGGAGGAAAGAGTGAATGATCAATAGTGTTAAATGATAAACAATTTAAAATTGATGATATTCTTGGAGAGAACAGCCTCAGTTGACTGCTTATTATAAAGTGAGTGGGAGAAATGAAGAAAGGAATATGAAATAGTTTGAGTCAATAAATCAACAAGTATTTATTAAGCACTCCTATGTTCTAGACACAGTATTAGGTGCTGAGAATATAAATGCAAAGAATGAAATAACCAAGAGATAAAGAAAAATAACTTGAGAAAATGTCACGGTCCGGAAAGGGGTGTGTGTGTGTGTGTGTGTGTGTGTGTGTGTGTCTGTGTGTCTGTGTGTCTGTGTGTGTTTGTGTGTGTAAATCTCATTAGGTCCTCACAACTATGCAGTGAGGTAAGTGCTATTATTATCTCTACTATATAGATAGTGAAGATGATGGAGAATAAAAGACAAAAGGAATGGCTGAACTTGGAAATTTGTTTCACTTGACTATGCATATTTATTACAAATGTTTTCTTTTTCTTTCTTTTTTTTCTTTAACAAGGCAAGGAGAGTTGGGAGTGAGAGAGGGTAGATAGGGATAAGGGTGCCAAAAAAACTCAACCTTCAGTCCTCTGTGGAAAAAAAAAAAGAAAAAGAAGCATTTTTTTAAAAAGTGCAGTACAGAAGAAAACAGAAAGAAAATAAGAAGGAATCACAGACAAGTAGGACAGCTTTGAAAGTTGAATTTATTATGCATTTAAAAAACAAGTTATGAATTATAGGGATTTGCTATTTTATGCCCAAACCTCTTTTTCTGTTCTACTGGGGATATGCATACTCATTCAATGTTTTGTTAGATTCAGAATTTTTTTAAAAAAACTGACACAGTGTTTATAAAAGAAGTGGAGAGGCTTCCCTCGGAAAGGCGAACAGCTACCTCTTCACTGGAAGTGGAAAGGAGGAGCATATAGAAATTGACATCAGAGGGCTCTCAGGTACAACAGGAGAGAAGGGACATTCATAATGTATAACTTCTGTGTGTGGTACATCAGGAGATGAAGTCTTTTGCCGAAAGGTTAGGGGGTGATTGAGAAGAGAAGAGAAGAGAAGAGAAGAGAAGAGAAGAGAAGAGAAGAGAAGAGAAGAGAAGAGAAGAGAAGAGAAGAGAAGAGAAGAGAAG